CCCCCTAGTGAGAGACTACCCCACACATAATTAAATCCAAATTTAACCCCTGTATATATATATATATATATATGCCAAATTCCATTAAAAAAAAGGGTCACAGCTTAATGTCCATTGGGAAATGTGGTTCCAATGGCCAAACCATTATTATAGCAAAATTCTTTACACAACACCCCGGACCTCACTAATTTTCAAACCCTGGTTACGGCCTTGGCCACAGCTCTCCGACTGAGAATAAAGGATTAGAGACAATGTGCCGCCAGTGCAGCCAGCAGACGACTGAGGGGTTCCTCACAGAAACTTCTATACAGGGCGGACAACAGGGACCACATTTCCCTCTGTGGCTGATTCTTCAAGGTTTCTGAAAACTTGACAAATAAAACTTGCGCAAATTATATTTTATGTGACTAGTAGGCTAATGTTGAGACATTTATCACATGTACTGTAATACAAATCTGATAGCCTTCGTCCAGTGTTGTTACTGTTAACTAAAACTAATACAAATAGTTTTCGGTCATTGAAATAAAGCTAAGATAAAATAAAATATAAGTATTAGATGAAAAACTTCGATGTAAAATTATAAATTTTGCTTTGGCAACTAACTGAAGTATAATTTGAAGTGCTAAAATTACTAAAACTGAAAAAAAGCACACAGCAAAATAAAAGTACAATTAACATGAAACCGGAAAATATCAAAATAAAAGCTCATTTAAAATATTAATAAATACAAGAATTGTAGGCTATAAATATTTCTAAAATAGCAGTTAAATAGAAATAAATAAACAGTAATAAAAACAAATTAACAGTCTTGGTAGTAGACTGGAGTCAATTTTCAATCTTTTTTGTGCAATGAGTATTCTTTGAACTTTCACATTAATATTAATTCTATTTTGCATAATTTGACATAAAAGTTGATATAAAAATGAAACTACTCACCCTTATGTCATTATGAACCATTAAAATGCATGAATCACACATATGCGGTGATACTGTCTTCTCATTTGGCTTGTGGTAAGAAGGTGTCAACCAAGGTGTCAACCAAAGGAAACATAAAAACAGAGCAGCAAAGTGATTCATGACTATGTGTCTCAGCTTGAGAGTTATTGGGGAAAGCTCATCACTGCTTAAAGGCTAAGGGTGATTAAGTTATACAAGATTAATCTAATTTTTGTAAGTTAGTTTAATGCAATTTAAGTTGAAATGACTTAAACATCCAAGGTGATTGTACTTAAATTAGGGCAGCAACCTTTTTACAGTCATGTTGTCAGTTATACGGTTCGGGTTAGTATTTGACAAGTTACTTACAGTCAGTAATGTCTATTGGGGAGCATCAAAATAAAGTGTAAGTAGATATTGAGCAGACAGTCTACCAATACTCTTGACATGCAGTTGCAAAGTTACTTATACTATATCTATAGTGCTTGAAATAAAGTGTTGCCGAATCTTTTAATACAGAATCATTGTTGACATTAAAAAAAATGACTTCAAATAATTGTAGAGACAGAAAAGCAAGTGTTATTTTACTATTTTTTTATACTATTAAAACTTTTAATTAGCTTTTATTTTTACACGCTTACGTACTTTTATTTAAGTTTCAGTTTGAGCAATTTTGTTTGTGCATTTGTCTTTATAAAAAAAAATTATTTCAGTTCTAGCTTGCTTTTTTTTTTTAGTTAAACTAAACGAAATGGTCTAGATTGTTTTTATGGATTTAGTTTTCTTTCAGTTATGATAATATCCCTGCAGGAAAGTTGAAGAATCACCCTCAGCCTTTAGCTTTCCCCAATAACTCTCAAGCTGAGACACATAGTCATGAATCACTTTGCTGCTCTTTTATTACGTTTCCTTTGGTTGACACCTTCTTACCACAAGCCAAATGAGAAGACAGTATCACCGCATATGTGTGATTCATGCATTTTAATGGTTCATAATGACATAAGGGTGAGTAGTTTCATTTGTATGTCAACTGTCCCTTTAAATGCAAAATATCATTTATATTAATGTGAAAGTTCAAAGAATACTCATTGCACAAGAACAGTGACACAATAATAACCCCCGAGTCATATTTTAGTATAAATACTATATTTTTATTTAAATATTTTACAACTTGGAAAACATATTTACAGGAACTTATCTTGCATTGTTACACTGTACACACAGAAAGTGTAGTTCTCATTTGCACATTGTCTGCTTCAGAGACTGAGAGACTCATCTTGACTGCAGAAGCACCATAGAAACTATCAAATAAGAGAAGGACAGATGATACAACCGAAAGTGACGACACTGCTGCAAGCGACACCCAGACGAGACACGCAAGCTTTGCCACACAAAGGCCTCTGGATGGGACAGTATGAGATTTTAAGGCGTCTATGGTATGGTAATGGAGCCACTGCCATCCGGATTCACTCATAGTGAAACACAGACACAGATTTGATTAGCGTTCAGTCATTATCAGCCCGAGTCAGGGAGGCAAGTTTCCTTAAATTAGGATGCAAGAACATTGCTCTATATTAAAAGTGCTTCTGATTTGATTGGGATAGGCCATAACAAAAGCCTTGTGTGCGTTGACAGACAAAGTGGCAAAACCCCCGACACTAAAATGTTTCAGTCACGACATCATCTCATGCAATGACACTCACTAAAGGCAAAACGTGTACTTTATGCACCACCAGTGACGCCAAACAGAACTGCATGTTTTCAAACCAGTTTAATTGGCTTTGTTCACACTGCACACAAGTCCGATTTATTTTCATATTCTATCCCTAGGACTGATTTTTCCATCGTCATTTGGCTGAAAATGAAGTGAAGAAATCAAATCAGATTGTTCAAACAGCCAATAAATCAGAGTAAAGTAATCAAACTGGTAAAAAAATACTTTCTGATACAACAAATGAGAGTAGTTGTCTGTGTGGATGGAGAGGACGGAAAACTCTTAGCATATTTGGACACAGATCCAGACAATATTGCTCATTTTGTCATTTGTATGATATATGTGGTGCATTCAAACAGAGACGTATGCTAAAAATCCAAAAATGTAATCAGATTTCAAACCATGGATGTTTAGACCAGATTTATTTATTTTTATTGCATTATTTATAGTTTAATTAAATGATTACTTTTCCCATTCCTGACAAACAAAAGTAATTCTTATTGCCTGTATGAACAAAGCCAAACACTGACGTGCTCACGCCATTGGTAGAGCTGGTCAAACACACAGACAGGCTGCAATTCTGTTCGCTGCCTCTAGAGGCACTGCAATAACACACATCACCTTCGACTAAAATAAAATGACTCGATCACTCAATTGATCTTAACGATTGCACATTACTGGCTGTTTAGTTGATTTCCATTTAATTTATCTAGAAAGAAAAGCAGACATGGGACACAATGGTGATTCCGGCAGATACTCTCAACATTTAACGGTTAGTTTGCAGTCTTCAAAAGGTGAGACCTTGGTCATGCTGGTCTTATGGCTTTCCTGCTTTGGTTTTCTTTACAGATTACACAATGTGGATTTGAGACATTGACTTCAACATGACCACGACCCACACTTCTGGTCTAATTTTGTTGGAGGCACAACTGAGGACTTGATTATAGATCTGTAGGTGGAGAACTAGAGCCATGCCTTTGTGGAACATATGAGGATGGCAAACCTCACAAAACATTGAGTTACATGTTTAGTTGTACAGGACTTTGAATATGAAAGCTCAAAGCATATGTATTCACTGGTTATAGTTTGTCATCCTGGGCATGCATGCATGGGCAACTGGAGAAACTAAAACAAAAAAAAAGACACATTTTAAATAACTGCATTGCTTTCCCAATCTCAATAAACTGGACAAAAATATAACCATTGTGTATAGTTTTTGCTTTTCATACAGCAGAATCGGTATTCCACTTTATTGAAAGACTGCAAGGCAATCACTCTCAACACTCAATCAGCTTGAATTGTCGCTTTTTTTGTGAAATAAAATCGTCATCGGCTCACCTATTTTATATTGTACAGGTAAAAACATTCATATAAATAAATGTAGTCACTCACGCATTTATAACTTACAAAAAATTAAAGCAGCACATGAATGTGAAAATGGTCTCTAACGACACAAAAAATGCGTTAGATAGCCTCCAATCAATTAAAAAAATAACCTAAGCCTCACTAGGGAGCACAGAAAACGCCAACAGGCCTTACAGTCGATCCATAAAGACCAAAGTTCCCTAGCTTATGCATTCTGTTGAATCCTGTCCACTAAAAGCTAAATATTTATAAAAATAAACATTTATTTATATACCTGACCTTTCGATTCATGAAAAGCATTGCCAGATGCTAGCCATTTGTGCGTGTAGACTTTCAAACTCAAGAGCTGAAGTCATGTAAATATACATCCAACACGCATTCACAGTCAATGTCAGCGAGTGTATCTGTATATTTGCGGATTGTGACATTCTCTGGTATGACGTCTCTGCAGTTTAGTTTCTATCTCTGGTAAATCAAACACAAGATGTCCATTATAACCCAACTCCTTCCCGCCTTTGAACTTGCAATCCATTATCTGAGACCTCACAAAGTGACAGTGAAGGTGAAGGCTGTATAACTCTAGAGGCAGACATGAACTAGTCAGCACATACTTAAGCACTTATATTTCCCAACAGGTTTAAATCTAGCCAGGCCTCCTTCTGAACATTAACCGACCTTTCCTTTACAGCTTAAACAAAGTTGACCAACAACCAAACAGGACACTTATTACACACGTACCAGCACGTAGAAGCACTTCATATAAACTTCAGAGACGCTCACATTTTTCTCTCAAGGCATAGACAATCAACCATTTAACAACAAAAACTACTTTTCATTTGAAGTATGACAGCTCCTTCCATTAGTAACCCCTTTTTGTTGTAATGCATGGCCCACCTTGCCCCTACTAGAAATGACACAGATTTACAACACAGGTGAAAGATTCTCAAAATCCTTTTGGGAGTGAGGTCATCAATTTTGGACATAGTACCACTTGCATCACCACCCAACCACAGGTTCATGCTCTCCTCTCTGCGCTGACTGGAGATCTACTCGAGAAATGGAAGAATGGAAAGGGGTGCTTGGAGATGTGAGATGGGGAGCAGTGCAATAGGACGGGGTGGAAGACACAGGTGTACGAGAGGAGCAAGCTCCACTGAGCGCGCTCAGTCTGTGTATTCTGCCACAATGGACAGCAGCACTGTGATGTCATCAGGCTTCCCCCCTGAAATGACAACAAAACAATGACAAGGTCAGTCTCTCCGATTATGGACATTCGAAGAAGTTTTGGGATCACAACGGTAATGGAAATCAAGGACCTCTTTTTGTAGACTCACCTCTTACATTCAGCCCGTTGTCACAGGCAAACTGGGCGAAAGGGGACATGTAGTTGGGGTCGTAGGCCAACTGATGAGCCTGTTCAGCGATGCTGCGGGCAGTCTGCTGGATGCTATCATAGTTGGTGTTCTGAGGGAAATTAAATACAAAAAATGATTGATTGGAAAAAAAGAAAGAACACAGTCTTATATATCGGCCAGGGGGATTCATCGACAGTTATACAGCCATTTAGAAATTATTGGAACGATTACCAATAACCTCATAAAAAAATAAATAAATAAAAAACGTAGAACGTGCAAGAGTACCCAAAAGTATTGTGTTAGACCGATATATCGGCCAGGGGGATTTATCGTCAATCATACAGCCATTTTAAGATTATCAGAACGGGCCGATAACCTGAAGATAAAAAAACTAAAAAAATTGAAGAAAGTGCAAGAGTACCCAAATGTACAGTATATTGTGTTAGACCGATATATCGGCCAGGGGGATTAATCATCGATTATACAGCCATTTTGAGATTATCAGAACGGGCCGATAACCTGAAGATAAAAAAAAATTAATTAAAATGAAGAAAGTGCAAGAATACCCAATAGTATATTGTTAGACCGATATACAGGCCAGGGAGATTAATCGGCAATAGGCTTTATGCACAGCTGCACTACTTCCTGAACTTCAGCCAGCCCTTTTACACCTGGATTAATCAGTTTGTCCAATAATGGCAGACAGGAAACAAAGGAGCTGGCTAAAGTTCAGGAAGTAGTGCAGCTGTGCATAAAGCCAATTATACAGCCGTTTTGAGATTATCGTAATGGGACGATAACCTGAAAAATAAAATAAAATGAAAAAGGTGGAAAGTGTACAATTAACCAACTATACTGTTAGAACGACATATCGACCAGGGGGATTAATCAGCCGTTATCCGCCTATATTAAGATTATTGGAACGGGCCGATAACCTGACGAAAAATGAAAAAGGTGGAAAGTTTACGTATAACCAATTACGGTGTTAGACCAATATATATATATATAGTATATATATATATATATATATATATTAGGGGTGGGCGGTATGACCAAAATTCTATTTCACGGTATGACTAATTTTATTTCACGGTAACGATATATTTCACGATATAGTTATTTATATATGTAGCTATTCTCGAAAAATCGACAAAAAGGGCTTTGTATAATAAATAAACCCAAATACTTTAGAAATGAAAAGTACTTCACATTGTTTTCTGTTTCTCTTATTTGGTAAATTATTTCTTTGGTAAACTATTTAGATAGCTAAATATAAACAAAACACACTCATCAACTTTAAGATGAACTGCCCCAAACTGATTGATATTAAATACAACTCATAGGTGCAATTAAACTTTAAATAAAGTGTTTCTGAATATTTTTTCAATCTCATGTTATGCTTACTTCATCAATCAGTTTATAACATCTGAATATTTTATATTGAACTATTCTATTCATGATAAATTAGTTATTTCCTTTTAATTTTGTAGGATAGTAATACTAGTTATGTTTAAATGTGTTCCCCGGTACATTTTTGCCATGTCTGCTTAGGCTGCACTGCGTTTTTAAGGGGCTTGTTTTGCTCTTTTTGTGATATCTGGCCACCCGTCACCATGCGCTTTAATCAATAGAAGTTCAGAAGTGACTAGAAGGAGAGCAGCAGTTTGAAAACCGAACAGCAGCTACTGTTAGTGTTGACTAAGTAGCCTAGTTTAAATTATACACACCTTGTAACTGCGTCATTATTTGACCATAGCCCGGTGAACACCGCGCTCCCTCAGTGCGTGTGCACGCGCGCGTCTTCTGCATCAGTAAAATGCGATCGGTTAATTTGAGTGTCAAGTTGTAATCACGTATCGAATCAAAGGAAGATTTTATCAGCTGGTTCAGTGGCCAATTGTTTGGAGTTAGAAATATATAACTCGCGATGCATATTTAGTAATTTTGCCTCAGATTGGCTACAGGATTACACTCACTTTAACAAGCAGGTTGCACATTACCACGGGCGGCAAACTGTTTGCGTGTTTTAAAACTATAAGAGACGGAAAGATGCTGATAACTATACATTATTTAAGGTTATTTCTATTCGTTACGATATTGATGAACTGTTGTTGTCCAGCTTTCCCCGTTGCGAGCGTTCATGCACTAATCTGTAGCCTGGGTGCTGCACTGCTCTAGTGACTGCTGCGCCTTTCCCCCCGAAAATATCACGTTAACAACAACAACAACCCTTTAGAAAATGTAATTCCTTTGTGGATCATCTTGATCTGCTTTCTCCGTGTTTCTTTTTACAATTCTCAGTGTTTCAGTCTCACGCACGTTGGACACGAGTTAACCACGCCCACTTATTTGCATGTCGCGGTATACACGGAATAAAAAAATCTGTTACGGTTGACATTTTCTACCGCGGTAACGATATATACCGTCATACCGCCCAGCCCTAATATATATATATATATCGGCCAGACGGTTTTATTTTGAGATTATTGGTATCTACTAATAATCGTGGACACGGGTCTGCTTGGGTCCAGTTTTGTCTTATATGCCATCATAACACTGTGTTATATACATATATAAATGCAATATATTGGTCACTCCATTCTCTATAATATTGGTACTGGCCAAAATACAAATCAGTTGACTGTCACCCAAGTAGGGTTCACATTTATTGCAACTATTGTCTGTACTAGGGATGGCGAAAACAAAAAAATTTCTTGACCGACCACCGAGCCTCATTAGCCGGTTGAAACCGGTTAACCGATTAGTTTAAAATATGCTACGCTATTTGAAATAACAGCCATTTCGAGCCGCGCCTGCAATTTCACAACTCTGTCGCATCTCTCTGCCGCTCTGCCTCCCGCTCACACACACACTATAATAGTCTCTGACCGCTGTTTGTCACATTTCCTACCAGCTAGCATAGATGACACGGTAGCTTGGCTTTGGCTACCTTTCTCACCCGAAGAGGCTTGCGGGTGTCGCACTTTCAGGTGATACATCATAGATGATGTGCTACTACTGTATTTAAGCACTGTATCACACAAGTTGCAACTTACATCTGTGTCATTCTTTTTGGTGAAATGGCCCCACACACTACTTTTCTTTGCACGCTTCATCCTGTCGTCTGCCCTGGCTCTAACCTCGAGTGTTTTAGCCTGTAGCCTTAACTTTTCGCAAACCTTGTGAGCGTGCGAACCCAAACGCTGTGACCTCGCGCCAAATGTTTTATTGGTTTATTAAGTACAAACAGGCGAGTTATAAAAAATTGAGTGTGAGGGATTTGTTCACTTCACACAAAAATATCTTGGAATGAGATGGCTAACTGTAGTAGCGTTTAGTCCACTGTCTATAATAGCCTAATTTAGAGATCAACTTTGATCGGTTAACGTCGATACGGTCAACCATCGGTCAAACGGTCATCGGTTAACATCCCTAGTCTGTACCTTTAGTTTCTTGAGTTCTTGCAGGATCATGTAGTCCGGCATGTTGTCAAAGAGGCCATCAGAAGCAGTCAAAATAATGTCCCCTAACTGGACATCAAAGGAGGAGCTATCTGCCGCCTCAGGACTGAAAGATAGAGACAGAAAGACATGCAGTTAGACTTCAGCACAGTTAAACCCAATATAAGACGTACATGGCCCATGCCAACCTTCTATAATACCAGTGTATTTTAATAACTATGCCACCCACATACAAACAAATTGATGCCAAGTCTTAAATATTGTTATGAAAATTTTAACGTCACCTTCTGAATTGCACTGATAAACAAAAAACAATCCAATATGTCAAGTGATTTTTAATGGGCAACGATCCAGTCATTTTGTAGAAAAGTTAATGGGGAAACAATGCTCTAATCCACCAAATTAGAATGAGACACTTGATGAGGGTTGAAACTCAAGTAGTAGGGCGAGAGAGGAACAGGGCACAGATCAGTCTGACCTAAACGGCGGGTAATGGACACTCGGGTTTAAGAGAACTCGTTCAGACCCAACATGACCTCTGGACCAAATTCAAGCAGTCAGGTTGTTTTCTTGGAAACTAGACTGGCCTCTTCAAGCTCCAAATCCCTTGAGACCGAATATTAGTTTAATCCATCTTAGTGCTTGGGTAAGTATTGGAGCTCCGATTATAGGTCATATTTAAGGTAAAAAGAGGACACAAAATATCAAGACTTCAGAAAGAGATATTTTACTAAATGTTTTAGTCACATTTACCTTTGTATGGCTAAATTTTACCGACGAAATGCAGTCATCTCAAGAGGAATCAGTGCGATTGGGAACATTTTCCCCACACAGATTTTGCATCGGATTCAAGTACACTTTTGACAATGGGTAATGGACCAACTTTCCCGTCCAAATTTCACCAAAGTTTTGCCAATGTGACCGCTCTTTATGCAGTGCATGGAAATTGATTTTTTGCTCTGATGACTTGAACTGCCTAAATGTTGGCCACATGGGAAAGAAAGAAAGCCAATGGAAATGTACAATGTTTAAAACTCGCTGGTACTATGCTAGACAGCTGTGGTTGTTTTCCAGAGCTCTGTGTCAATCTATCGCATTTGTTTGCCCAAAAATTGTAAGTCTGAATGCAAAGAAAACACAGCTCTCCTAAACAAGTTGCACAATTTGAAGTATCATTCATGCCTTTAGCCCAAACAGCACTAGATAAGTTACTTCAGGATAGGAGATTTCCAGAACCTTTACTATCTCTGATTCTCTGTGGCAGAACGAGCTTCCACCTGATCTGCTGGGAATATTGCAACCTTCAAGAAGACACCTCTTCCATTAACTGAAACCTCAACCGCAGAGGCACTCTGATAACTCTGTGGTACCGAGACCATTGTTGACTCTTGATATGATAAATTGCTTGTGATGCTCCTTATATGTAAATTGCTTTGGATAAATGTGTCTGCAGATATTGTAAGATAAAAATGCACTGATCATTTAGTCATTTAGCAGAGCATAAACTGTGTGTTAATGGCAAAACATCTTTTGCAAAAGATTAGAATATTGATTGGCCATTTTGCAATGAAAATGACGTTAACAATGAACTCAAAGAGGGTGCAAAGTAAATGCATGTAAATGAGCGAGTCACACTTAGAAGCCAGCGCTCAGGTCAGATTCCCTGCTGCACATGAGAAGGTTAAATGAGTGTTTTCTGTGGAGGTCTGTTATAATGGACTCCGGACGACACAAAAATATTAAGGTCCCACGTAATTTAGCAGGACACAAGGAGCTTAAAATAATCACACCCTCTACTGGGACTTGGGGGGAAAAAATGTTTTCAGCACATCCCTGATTGGCTGATTTGCTTCACCACCCTCCCTCTTTGATTGGAGGTTTTGGGTGTTTGCGTGTGTTTGTTTGGATGTGTGCCCGGCAGTGAGGAACTAGAATCACATGGCCTTGACATTGAGGATTTGGGCCAACACACACACGGTGATTTTGGCGGAACGATTTGGCTGTTTTCACTACTACAGGGTTCATAAGAATCCCAGCTAATATCTGCTAACACTGCTCAATCTAATCTAGTGGAAAACCATTTAATAAGCATCCAAGATAAGGAATATATATATATATATATATATATATATATATATATATATATATATATATATATATATATATATATATATATATATTCATGTTGGATTCAAAATTTCAGAAACTTCAAAAACATTTCAGAAAAGTTTACACTTAATGACCACGATGAAGTATTGAGTTAAATTTCCTTACACCTTAAAGATTTACACATCTTAATTATTAAAAATATATAATTTTATATATTTAATAATAATAATAATAATAATAAATATATATATATATATATATAATATATGATTTATTTTATTTTATTATCCCCCTCCTTAAAAGATAAAAAGCATTTGTTTTTACAAATATCACACATTTAATGCAGAAAGTTTTTTGGAGGTTGTATGGCATCGTAAAATCTCCACTCAAGTTAAAATGATTTATTGACCTTGACACACAGTCATGAGGGTCTGCATGCGTCCACTCTATTATTATTTCCTGCTTGCTTTATGTTTATCTTACAGCATGTTTATGCACATTGGTTGCATTAAATGACTTTGATTTGGCAAATGTTTTACAATTTTTCATGTTTTAACAAAACTACTTACACAGTAATAAAATATTATGCTAAACTACACAAGGTAATACTTGTGAGACTTTCTCTTTATTATAATATCAGCCCCACCATGACCCCTCCCCCCAAAATATAAAAATCTTATAATTAAAAAATGAACTAATAAACAAAAAAAAAACATGCTTCCTATAGAGGTGTATTCAAGTCATTACATGTATGAATTGGATTTTTTTTATGTATTTTTGAATAATAGATCCAGTAGAGAAAGACAAGACAGGAAATGACAGTGGTAAGAGGAGGGAATGTGAAGAATCAAACTCAAACTCAAGTGTTGGCTCCTACACTAGGTGCATTTTACACTATTAATTGATGTAAAAGCCACACGGCCTCCACAGACCGACATCTGTGACACTGATCTGTAACAGGCCACCATCTGTGATACTGCAGTGAGTGTATCGGCTATCACCTGTCGCTCAACACCACTCCCTCAGCCCCCGGCGGAGCTATGGACAGCTGGAAGGGTGTGTTGAAGTAGTGCTGCTGCTCGTCTGACCGATGGACCACCTCTCCACCCCGAACCACCAAGAAGCCCGAGTCTCCCAGGTTACAGGTGTGTATCCTGTGACTCCGACGATCCAGAACGACTATACAAGCTGTGCTACTCCCTAGAGGAGAGACAATGAGAATGAAATGGAGAAAATGAGAGATTACTGAACAAATATCTACTATCTATAGGCTACTATTAGCAACATAGAGTTGCATAAGTTAAGTAAAATAAAGATAACTTTTGTTGAAGTAACGAATATATATATATATATTAATTTTTTTACTCTATAACATGAAATTCATTTTTGCTTGCACATAAAACAAATAAATTAAAAACAATTGTTTACATACAAAACAATTGAAAATCTTTGTCCCCATAACACAGTCATGTAACCTACGTACTGTGCATGACACCATGTCCTCACTGCAAACGGGTGACATAATGCATTGTGGCTCCTATTACATAAGAAGCTGTATATACACTGCAAGCAGCGTGACGACTATGCAGGGTCAAACTGTTGCATGTAAAGTATGTCAGGGGGACAAATATGTCCACGGCAAAAAAACGAAAAAATACCACCACATGTTAAACAACAACAAGCAAAGAATCACGCCTAAGAACAAAAGTTATGCCAAAGTAAAAGTCATTTATCTAACATGTACTTTTATAAAACACAATCAGTAATGCTTTACAGCAAGGTTCAGTGTGTTAGCATTAAACGCAAACAATAAACAACTTTTTACAGCGATTTTTTCTAGGTTAATATTGAAATTATATACTATTGTTCATTTTCAATAATGTTTGTTCAATATATTTCAATTAATGAATAACATTTAAAATATATTTTTTTTAAATACCATTCAAAACAGACAGTAAGATTTTTTTAAATATATGTATCTGCATAAATAAATGTATTCATGAACAAAGGTGACAGTTTAAAAGACATTTATAATGCTAAAATAGATCTCCGTTTCAAATAAATGCTGTTTCTTTGAACTTTCTATCCATCAAAGAATCCTGAAAAAAAAGAATCAATTTGTTTTCCATCAAAAATATGAAGCAGCACAACTGTTCAGCATATAATAATTATTTTTGAAGAACCATGTGATAATGAAGACTGGAATAATGATGCTGAAAATTCAGCAGGAATACATTTTAGTATTTTAACAATATTTTTGATCAAATAAAAATGCCTTGAACACTGAGCAGAAGAGACTTTTTAAAAACATGAAAAAAATCTAACCGTCCCCAAACCTCTGTACGCTCGTGCATGTAAAAAATTTGATTCATAAACGCTGCAAAAGTATTGCTCATCATTGTTAGTTCATGACACCCAACATGTCAATTGACGTTAACATTTTTATTAACCATTTTGTAAAGTGTTACCCTATTCTTTTAAAATAGCATTGATCAGCTTTTAGGTTTAACACTAAAAATACAGGCATTTCTAAATAGGTGAGGGTCTCTCAGTTTATCACTAAACACAACCTTTCCTTCTCTCTCGATCCCTGGCCAAAGCCTTGTAGCCCAAGTGACCTGTCCTACGGTCACCTACAGACCTTTACCGCTCCACATGCCTTCCTAAAATAAAAGCAGGTCACATTAAAAGAGGCAAACAACTCAGCAAGAGGAAGAACACAGAGTGACAGCCCTTGATGTCAGGTTTCAGCAAAAAGACGACCTGTTGCGTGCTTGGTAATCCAACGCCCTCCTCAAGAATCTAACTTCGGCTTTGCTCTTACTGTCACATCAGCAACATGCGCATCCCGAACATTTGTTAACTTAAACCTTAATAAACATTCACATTTCTGCTTTATGAAAACTGTTCCATGACAACACTAAAACAATAACAATCAACAATAAACACGCTATTGCAGTATTTTAAGATATTTGAAATTGATATGTCAAAAAATTGTACTTTTCCTGATGAGACCTTGGTAAAAGCATCCATTAAGGAACTTTCGGAATAAAATGTTTGTCTACTGATATTTTTTATCCAACATTTGGGTGTTTTTTTCAAAGCTGAAACAGCTCTGGAAGATCATCACTCATCCACCAGGATCTTATTACTTGTTCTTTATTCTATGTACTTCTATTGTAAGTAGGTAGTTCTAATTTTCCTCGTGTGTGTGCTTGGTGGTGTTTTCGCGGAGATATTAGCAGAAAACCATCGGGCGCGCTGCAAAATTGCGGACGCCGGTGACGTCACGATCTCAGAAGAAAATTGCTCGTATCTCTGGAACGCAAAGACCCAGAGAGCTCAAATTCGGGGGAGGAGGTCCCAGGGGAACCCTTGCCCGAACGCTAGAGTGGCGGGCCTCGGGGATGCCCCCTACCGGATCGCCGTTCGCTGGGACCCCCCATTTCGAACGGCTATAACTCGGGGAGCCGGGCGAGTTGGACCTCGGGGGTGGGCTCGTTCGAAAGGCCCCGTCCAGCACTACGAACGATTAGAGTCTTGGGAATATTGATCAAAGATTGACTGAGATATAAGCCGAAAAACGAGCGCCTTTAACCGGACGTAACTCCCTGACCGTCTACAATAGACTGTATATAAGGAGAGAGGCTCGGGAGCGCATGCACGTCACATCCGTTGGATTTCGCGGTAAATCCGACCCGGAGACTTCCCATAGAAATAGGAATACTGGCCTTCAGAGGTAATAGCAAAACTCGACAAGTGGATCATTTTAATGTGTGATTACAACCCCTTCACACACAGGAAATAAAAGAAGGATTCATTTTAGTAGAAGAGTAAAGTGCATAGAGCACCTTTAATCAATCATCGATTAATCGTTAACATCCCTACTCGGAAACTAACTGAAATCACTGCTTATTTAAAATATTAATAAATTCTATTAAATAATGCTAAAATAACACACTATAAGACACCTGACAGCAAAATCTGCCGGTTTCCAGCTCTACAATTGTCAAAAAAACAAAAAATCGAATCATTATGGTGGGAAAAAACCTAGACAAGAATCAATACCCTACATCACGACGCAAGGCCAGTGAGTCATCCTGCAGTGTAGGGTTGTGCGATGTCTACCAATTTGGCATCAGACGATGTGTACAGTGAAACATCGCGATGGACGATGATATCGGGAGGAGGGGCGGGGCTAACATTCAAATTTTTCACTTAAGCAATAAGCCCCGCAAAGCCGTGTTTTACAGTGGATTTAGAACAGCTAAGAGGCGTAGGCACAACGCGAAGATATTTTCCTCTACATCTCATCAGCAATTTTGATGTCGGCACGCTCTGCAGCAGCTGAGCACTAAGAGCTAATGTACAGTGCCGTGACATCACTGCCAGATTCAAACTGCGTGCTTTCGCGCGGTGGCTGCGCTGAGCCAGAGACGGACGCGCTCAGCGCTTGTCATATATATCACAACTATTCAGTGTTTTTAACCACATAATGTTTATTTTAGGTTTCAGACATTTAAATGCATATAATTTATAGCAAAACAATACATTTATAGTTTGTAAAATACACAATGGTGTCTATGGAAGCAGCAATTACAACCCATTCAAATATATTTGCCGACGGATTTCATTCATATCAGACACACAGTGTAAGTAACTATAAAGTTAACTATATTCTTCTCCCAGTTCACCGGCCATGTATTTCGGGAGAAACTGATGAATTCACGTGCTGTAATAAACCCAACAGACATGAATCTCTGAACTGCGGTCTGAACAAACATTACGGCGCCCATCTCGCGTTACAGATCAAAATCATTTATAAAGGTTTTTTAAACAACAAAAACTCACTTACACGTATTTGAAAATCGGAATAGAAGATAGTTGATGACATGGTAATCAGGTTTGTTAATATTTAGAAATAAAAGCGCTAACGTTACATCTGTCATACAGCGCTATTTTGGCTGTGGTGAATCACGTGCCAAGTATGATGCGTCACCATGGAAACATGGGGGGGGGGGGGGGGGTTCGCGATGCTGGCTTAACATCGTGATGTCTGTCAGCCATCACGATGGACGATGATATCGTCTATCGGCACAACCCTACTGCAGTGGTTTAATTCGTTTACCCTATAACAGTGGCAGTGAGGATATGATCTTACCCAGCAGAGGTACTTTGTTCTGCAGGAGTTCATAGTAGCCGGAGGTCAGGATGCCCACGGGGCTGCTGGGAGTGAACCGGCCCTCCTTCACGAGCCGCTCGCACGTCCTCATCAGTGTGGCGGAGAACTGAGATGGGTCAACGCCGTAATCCCTCCAGCCCCCGACGCCATCCGCAACACCTGAGACAGAAAGAGCGGGGAGAGATGTTGTTATTAAGTGTAAAAAACAGCCAGACCAGTGTTAATGCTAACCTGAAGGCTTCAACACCTGAAGATGAAAAGAAAGGAAGAGATGGCGGTTTTTGATGCCGCAGAGACAGATGGCAGCTGCCACAAACCTCCTTCCTGCCCTGCCCTGCCGTCTGACTGCGTATTGTGATGGTAATGCCAAACGGCTGTCTGCTACAGCGTGACTGACGCCTTCAGTCAACAAAGAGGTTGTTAGACACTAGGAGTGTAACAATATATGATGTCACGATATATTGCAATACAAAAATGCAACAATATGTATTGTGGCTGGATAGTGACAATCTGTATCGTGTATAGTTCAACGTAAATTAAAATTACTTTGTGAGAAAAATGTGTGTCATTACTACATTAAACTACTATATATAATGTTGAATATAGTGTAAAATAATGCAATGAGGGAATCTTGTGGGTCCTGATAATGGCAAATGTCTGATGTTACCAGTAAAAAGTGGCCTACATTATTTTAAATATATCTAGTCAGAGACAGAGTGCAACCATATTCGTCTAAAATAATTCTGTATTTTCAGCTTCAGAATCATGAATATGTTTATTCTGGTGTCATTGTCCCGTACATTGGGTTTCCAGCACCGAGTTCAAGCCTATTAATTTACATCCACAATGTAACACCAAATTTAGTATTTTAATCAACAGTAAATTTTTTTAACCTTGGCTTTTATCATATGTCTGGGAGTATCACAATAATATCGTATCATGAGTTCAGTATGGAGATAAGTATCGAATCGTGACATGAGGGTATCGTTACACTCCTATTAGAGGCATATCTTGTGAAGCCTATGACCTCTCACTTAGATTTCACGAATAATGACAAAAAAATTAATAAATAAATGTGAAATTGAGCAGAAAAATGGAATATTTTCTTGTAAAATGTACTCCAGTAATCTTCGTTTTATTTACAACTTCGAAAACTTGTAGTAATTGCTGGTTATTCTTTACAAAATCTAAACTCAAGCACTGCTAGTTTCTCAATTCGAAAAAAAAAAGAAGCTATAAATGAAATTCAACCATTTAGGATTTGTCACAAAGATAATTATAAATGTATAATTTAAAATCACCACCATTTGTTTTAAAAAGTAGTTAGCTACACAACAACAGACAAACAAACAGCTATTTACGTTGAAGATATTTAAGGAGACATTTTTAAATAACTATCTGATGAAATATGAAAAACCTTAAGGCTCTGTGTGTCCAATATAGCATAGCATAAAACACTGTGTTATGATGCGCTACACTGCTACTTTCCTCGTTACTGGAAAGTTCCACTGTTTTGAAAACAGCCGAGATCCTGTCGCACTGCTGGAAAATGTTGTCTCTTCAACTCTGATACTGTGACATCTTACACTCACTTCATATTGTAACCACACACACAGAGAGAATTAAGAGATTGCATAGGCACAAAAGGAGATCCAGGCTCATAAGGAATGAAGGGCAACTTATCAGAGTTACACATGATTTAGAGCAGCACAAGTCAAGCCACCATTCACATCTCAATGGAGCTTTGCAAACAAGACCAACTGTTCATCACAAAGCTGCAAACATACTGAAGTTAGAGTAGGAAAAAATCTTCAAAGTGCAGAAAGAATGTGACATTATAACTTGCCGTATACTGTATCATAAGACTTTGCACCAAGAAATTATTATTATTACTGTCATATGATGTAACATTAAATGTCTATCAGCCAAGCCAAATAGCGAAGTCAGATGAGTGATTCAATGGCTCAAATCTTTATTCAACAAACGTTCGTATTTAGTTTCAGAAACGTTAACCTGAGACGGCCATATTTACAGCTAAATGGCTAAAGCGAACGGCTCTCTGAGGAAACGTCCTTCTGTTTACACCAGCTAACACTTGAGCGTATTGAAAAAAACGTTATTATGTTTTACTTCATCGCTGCACAACATGACATTTTTAGAGTAGGCTATTAATCAAAGTTAAAAAGTTCTTGAAAATAGTACAAATAAATCCTATGAAATTAAACTTAATTAATATTGTTTTAATTAATGCCAACACTGAAATGCGTTTCACTTTCATCCAACTGCTAATGTGATTTCAAAGGTTCACACCCTCCTGAAACTTCAACATGAACCGCTGAGAAAACAGATACTGCAACAATAAGGGCTCCAAACAAACCCTGGAGCTGTTTCTTAAAGGGATATTTCAGGATTTAGCATTAAGCTTTATATTGTATTAGTAGAAAACCTGTAGTATTTTCGAATTACCGTGCTTTCCACCCTCATATCCCCCTGAGACGAGAGATTTATGTATTTTTTGTCTGGAAAAAATCCTCCGATGACACAAAAATTGTCATTTTGTGTCATCGGAGGGTTTTTTGGCCAGAGGCTAAAGACTACAGCCAGTAGTAGGGGCTGTCCCGCATGTTCTCAACCCGCCCATAGAGGGTGGGATCTCACTCACAGAATGTACACATAGTGTCAGCCATCTTTTTTTGGAAGCTAAGCTAGCAGGCTCTTGTTCTGTGGAGAAAGCTTAGTAGTAGGGGTTACCATCCTCTTTTTCCCGGACATGTCCGGCCGTCGATGTCCGGGATTCAGCTTTTGTTTTCTGCAGTCGCCATTCATTGTTTACATGCACACCTTTTGTTTCAATCTAACTGAATTCATTCCGATTGGTGAATCTGAATGTAGTGTTTACATGAACGCTAAACAAGTGATCGGTTGATGTGCGTTTTAACATTGCTAAGAAAATTCCCGCTCCTCCGTGAGAGATACGAGACCGGTGCTCAACGGTAATCACGCCACCGGCCTCGCGCCGTCCTGCTCGCCACAGTAAACATAATGAATGGCGACTGTAGAACGCAAAAGCCGAATCCCAGACATTTTGGACGATCTCGAAACACATTTTCGGGCAGACTCATCACGGAGACTCACTAGTAGCCTAGACTTGTTGTTTAACTTCTGCGCTCTGTTACTGGTAGGCGTGGCCTCCTAGGGCAGCGAAGCAAGTGCATTCTGGGAGTTGTTGTCTTTCATCCACATAAGCCAAAAATACATTTTCTGGCTTTTCTCAGTCTAGAAAGCTCCAAATTCAAAAATAATTTCACATTTCTTCTACATAAATGACCCATTTTAAATACACATTCATCTTTCCAGAGGTGAAGTATCCCTTTAAGGGCAGCTTATTAAGCTAAAGTGAAGATCACCTACTACTGACCTTTAAAGACTTGTGATCGTAAATAGAGGAGTTAACCAGACTAAGTGGGCAGAGACACAGACACACATTTAAATGTAATTAAGTATATATATATATAAAAGGGCAGATGATATTGCAAAATCATCTCTGGCAAGGGTGACCAGGACTATTATATACATGATTGGACCAGGATACCGTGTGCAACAGTGGCCGTCCGCTCTTTCAGTAGCCTTGGTTACGAAAGTAATTTCTCCATTCATTTTTCTCATACAGGGATTTTTAAAAAAAAAAGCCTTTGCTAAAACATTATAAGCCATGAACCAAACCAACAAGCTACAAGATGAATCAAAATATCACAAACTTAGATTTGCAGCAAAGTTATTTGAAAATCAGACCCAAAAAAAGTATAAAACTGTATTAAGAGTGAATGAACAACAATCCCATGAAGCATTGTCAATCAAATAAAAAAAGGTGGATAAATATACAACTATTAATTAAAATGTTTATTGTGCATATAAACAGTATATTTTATGTTTATTTCAAAAAATTATTATAAGAAGTTATTATAATATTATATTATTTAAGTAGTTTGTAAGCATAGGGATACTGACAGCGCTTCATTTTGCCGCAATTCTCTGATTGGAGTATTTTTTGCAGAATCATGGGCAATTTAAAGCAGCACTAAGTAGGAATTCCGTTTTAGTCAAACAGCGACCCCTAGAGTCGCTGTGGAGCACTTGTACTGTCGTGAATAGCACTCACGCAGAGATGGCTCGCACTCACGGCCGGATCCCCTCCCCCTGTACACCGGTACCTGTTCAGTAGGATGGACGCTGTAACGAGTGGAAATAAGGTATGGCCCCTTTAAGAGCTGCGCGCGCCCAACACCACATGTATACGGCGCCGGGTTATTTCTGTTTGATGCTCATTTTATCAGAATTTTATCAGATCTGTTTTTTGCCGTAAAGCAGTTCGTTACCTCGTGAGACCTGATATCACACGATACTTCCTAACACTGAGGCCGGCGGCTCGCCGGCCCAAAGTTGCAAGGGTGGTTTTGCGGCTCACAGGCACCAGAGGGGTGCGAGACGACCACCATTCAACACGAAATCAGTAATATAAACATTACAATGACTCCAAAGCTGTTCGGTTAAGGTAAAAAAGTTACTTAGTTCACCTTTAATAGGGATTCTGCCGTTTGTCGAGAATAAGAATTATTTTTAAAAATAAGTTAAAAATAAGTGTGCTGATGGCTTCAGCAAAAGCATATAGGCTACTATTAATTAACAACCTGGTAGCTTTGCTTGTAAATGTTTTAGAAGTTATCGTTAAAATCAATTCCCCTATGGAAAAAACGTATGTGATTTTTACTTCCGAACTTTGTGCTCTAAAGCCGCGGTGACACTAGACTTCGAGCACACGAATGCCGTGTCCCAATTCAGAGGCTGCATCCTTCAAAGGCTGCATTCGAAGGCCGGTTGAGTCACAGCGGTGGGAAGAAGGCTATCCCAATTCAAAGGCTTCTTCAAATGCATCCTTAGTTTCCCCTGAGATGAAGGATTCGACAGCTGGATCCTTCATGGCCCCAGAATTCATTGCGCGCCAGTTAAGACAGGACTCTTGAGAGAATGTGTCAAATTACAATTCAAGTATTAGGTTTCAACTTACTCAAATATCTAATGACATGGCGTCTTTTTTTTCCCAAACATTAATTCAACATATAACAAAATATACAATCGACTCAACTTTACTGAAAAAATATGCATTCTTTTAATTCAGTCAGTCAAGAGGTCACGCAGTGAGTTATCGATCTTCTATTGGTCACACGTCTTCACATGATGCGAATTAGCAGGTCATAGTTCACCAGTCTTAAACTTAGGAAAAACTTCTTTGAAAGAGCTTGCGTTTCCGGTCTGATACATTTGCATATGAATGGAATGAAAAGTGTAGTGTGACCGCCGCTTAAAGGGATACTCCACCCAAAAATCATTTACTCACCCTCAAGTTGTTGCAAACCTGTATGAGTTTCTTTCTTCTGCTGAACACAAAGGAAGATATTTTGAAGAACGATTGGAACTTTGGCACCATTGACTTCCATAGTATTTTTTTTTTTCAACTATGGAAGTCAATGGTGCCAAACAACTGCTTGGTTCCAATCGTTCTTCAAAATATCTTCCTTTGTGTTCAGCAGAAGAAAGAAACTCATACAGGTTTGCAACAACTTGAGGGTGAGAAAATTATGACAGAATTTTCATTTTTGGGAGGAGTATCCCTTTAACAACGACCTAGAATGGTGACAGTTTTGTAGCCAATAAATGCAGTAGCTTGTATTTTGATCTAAGTTACGTGCAACCACAGTACTTTTAGGGCTGAACAGCTGGCATGCTCCTCACGTGCTTGTTAGTATGTAACAAAAGCTGGAGAACCTTCATTGTAGCACAAGGATGTATTAGGGAACTCATTGTTTTCTTGTATTTTGAATCATTTCACATTTTCCCCATGAAACCCCTCCGGTATTGTTTTTTTAGGATTACTATATATTATGTTGTAGAAACAGAAAGAGGATATGTCTTTGGATCAAAGTAAGGACAATGAAGCCGCCTGTGTGTGTCGCTGTCACGTGGAAGCGAATAAACAACATGGCGGCCTCCATGCTCAACCATTCTGACCTTTACAAAGAGCTCCAGCACAATGTACAAGTAAGCCCTCAAGCCTCCTGCGTGTTATAATAGAGTGCAATTATAGCTCATATCGTTCTTTCAAGGGATCAAACTACTTAAAACATTAATATTCATAGCGTGCAATCATCGAATCAATAGAGGCAAAGAAAGTACACTCGATCGGAGAAATCTATTCATGTTCAGCACACCTGACCTCACAACATGTCATCTATATCCATGTTTCCGTGATGGAAAGGTTTTACATGGCAATGATTCTAGTTTCTGCCGCTAGTCGCGCTCAAGGGGTTCAGCAGCTTTCTGGGTGAAAGGTCAACCCAGATTACCCAAGCTTATTTTGCATTAAATTTAGATTTTGTATGATATATAATATGTAGAATCGGTTGCTCCTTATTTAAAGTAAGTATGTTAAATCTACCAACGTGATCAGGAAAATCGCAAAGATTGAAAAAGAGGGAGGTTATCTAAGGTGAGGGCTGGACTGTTCGTCCCTCACACCCTCTCCATCATGAAATGAATGCTGACCTAACCCGTGAAGGTCATTTTCGTAGTTAAAAGCCCATAACACGTGCATAATGTATGTTATCACATATGGCATTTGTATACGTTGTATGAATCGCACTGAATTCTGGTGTCAGGTTCATGATCACTCACCCAAGACGTCCGCGGACTTGTGCCGGGCAATGAAGCAGGCATCATCGCCGTAGCACATGCCTTTCTTCAGGATCCCCTTCCGAAAGTCCTTCCCGAAGCCGCAGCTGGCCGTGATCAGGCTGTAGTCTCTGCCGTCCGTTTGCGAGAGTCCGCCCAGGACAGCCCTGGCAACGATCCTGCCATAGGAAAGTACCGATAACATTCCCCTCCTCCGGTAAACGGTAAGCGTGTAGATGCCGAGCCCGTGCCCCGTGTGTCTAGGATCCGCGCGCGCGTGCACTACCTGCGCCCGTGTGCTCCAGCATTCGCAGATCAACCACACGACACAAGCCAAGCCAACAAACCGAGCCCGTTTAAAGGTGATACAGGGTCTTCTTTACTGAAAGCCGGACACGTTAAATAAATGGCTGTTTTATGTCTTAGCGGATTTAACAGACAAAGTTCCTCCAGTACACTCCATCCTATCGCACATCCTCCCGTGTACTCGCTCGCATTCCCCGTGTTCCGGAGACGAGAACATACGGGACCCGGGGGGCGTCACGTGACCCGCTGCGGTGACGTCAGAGCGTAGTGGAAACCCAAGGACGTAGTGGAAGAACATGTGCTGCTGCTGAGTATTCATTACTCTTGCGACTTCTGTGAAGGTTTATTTTTTCCAGTGCATGCCATATACTAATCTATTTTGTATTGTTGTGGAGCTTTTCAATTAAGAGAGAGAGAGAGAGAGAGAGAGAGAGAGAGAGAGAGAGAGAGAGAGAGAGAGAGAGAGAGAGAGAGAGAGAGAGAGAGAGAGAGAGAGAGAGAGAGAGAGAGAGAGAGAGAGAGAGAGAGAGAGATAGTTTGTGTGTGATAAAAAAAAATATTTAAGAAAATATATCTGATATTATAAAATGTAATAATAAAAAATAATATATATATCTGTGTGTGTGTGTGTGTGTACTAAAACAAATAAAAAAACGTATATCAATAAACCACATTATAGAATGTAATAATAATTAAAAAAAAATCTATAATAAATCAGTGTATCTCAGTTCCGTTGATCTCGTATATGGCATTAATAATAATAAAAAGTTCAGTGGTTGCGAAAACAAAAATAAATCACTGGAGATAGAAACTGGTTTATTTTTCTTGTAGCCAAATATTACATAAACTATTCATTTGACAATATCTTGGATATTGCATAATTAATAATCAAAAGAGTATGGCATTTTTGAATAGTTATAACCAGGAAGACAGTTTAACCTATTCATTTATTAAATTATATTTTACTGTTATATATAGATGAGCCACAGAAATTGCTTGGTTTGGATTTTAATGGGATCTGCAGCTTTGCAATCCCACAATGCATTTCACTTCCTAGATACCAGCAGGGATACCAGTGACACAGCGCGCTGTAACCAAGCATGGCGGCGTTGTGCTGTCTTATTATTCTGACATATTTAGAAACCGCGTTCTGTATTGAAGACACGAACACCACAGGAAACATTAATGTTGCACTCAGAGACACAAACGACACGTCTTCCGATCGAGATGAATCGCTTAATTTCACGGAGCTGGGAGGCAGTTCTACTCCGTCTGATGTCTCTCCTGCAACAGCCTGGACGCCCGAATCCGTGACCGCATTACCGGACCAGACCGAGAGCTCGGAGAGGGTCATCCCCAACCCGACGCCCGAGTCCCCGCGAGCCGCCGCGTCAGCACCGCCTCTGCTCCTGTCCGGAGTCCTCCCTGCCCCGCTCACCGACGGTAGGGGTGTGATGCCTGCCTAATCTGACTGAAATCTGACTGACATGAGTGTTTCCTCGTTTCAGCCTAACTCCGTGTGTGTTCCTCCAGTCGTGCAGCTGTGCCCGTGTAACGTGCAGCACGAGCAGTGCGACATCAGCTGCTGCTGTGACCCGGACTGCGCAGAGCAGCTGCCTCTCTTCACTCACTGCTCACCGCACACTGTCAGGTCAACACACTAGTCTGCAACACTACATGACATTATCCCTTTCCATATACATATCCGCTCACTGTTTAGATTACGGTCCAATTCTCACTAACTATTAACTACGACTTTTGCCTCAATACACCTCTAAATAATTACTGCGCTTATTAATAGTTAGTAAGGTAGTTGTTAAATTTATGTATTGGGTAGGATTAAGATAATATGGTAATGCAGAATAAGGCATTAATATGTCCTTTATAAGTACTAATAACAATACCCTAGTAATATGCATGCTAATAAGCAACTAGTTAATAGTGAGAATTGGACCCTAAACTAAAGTGTTACCATCAATTAGGTGAAATAAGAAAAAATTTAAATGATATCTATCTATCTATCTATCTATCTATCTATCTATCTATCTATCTATCTATCTATCTATCTATCTATCTATCTATCTATCTATCTATCTATCTAAATACCAAGTGCCATATTTAAAAATCACTTTTTATGTAAACATATTCTGAGTAGTCATTTATAATCTAACTCATCATTTAATTTCAATGTCCATTGCATTATATGACGATTTGGGATTAATTAGGACTAAATATTTGTGATATTGTAATCAAATATGTATGATGGGACATTTATTACCCTTTCTGACTTGATTTTGTGTTTGTTTTTGTATTTTGGTCCTGACAGTAATTCAATAATTATTTTATGAAAGAATCAATCCTGATCATGAACTTGTATGGTCCTTACAGTAACGAGCCCAGACTGTGCAACCGGGAGTCAGCTGTGTATTCCCTGAGCTCTACACCAGAGGGTTTATCTCGAGTCCAGTCCACTGTCCAGCGACAGCTCAACCCGGATGTCTTCTGCATTCAGACTGCTAACTGTACGGCAATCTGGGAAATCTTTACAATTAATTCCTTATTTAGTTCTTAAAGGGATAGTTCACTTTGAAATTAATTTTTGGTATGTTTTAGCTTACCTCAAGGGCATCCAAGATGTAGGTGTCTTTGTTTCCGCAGTAGTTTCAATTTTGATATTTTTAGGTCAAACCGTTCTTGTCTGTCAGTCATATAATGCAGGTCAATGGTCACCACCTCAAAGTGTTCATACGTAATTCTTGTTTTCTTTTACGACGGTTTAAACATCCCGGATAACCGCAAATTAGTACCATTTTAATTAGCCGTCTTACCTACAATCTCTGTTCTGTGTAAACAATGAGTGACGTACATGCGCGAGAGATCACTTCCAGCGCTTTCCGGCGCTTGCGCAGACCGAAGCGCCCGCGCCCTCAGATCACTTGGACGTGGCTGTGGTTACAAGAGGTAAAAACGATATAAATACTGTTCGTTTTCTCTCACAAACCGCTCGTTTCGTGTCTCAGGCCATCAATGTGTACTTACATTTACGAGTCATTAAATCATGTTTAATTTGGACTTCTCTGTGCATGCTCTTTGAGGTGGTGACCATAGACCTGCATTATATGACTGACAGACAAGAACGGTTTGACATAAAAATATCAAAATTGAAACTACTGCGGAAACAAAGACACCTACATCTTGGATGCCCTTGAGGTAAGCTAAAACATATAAAAAATTAATTTCAAAGTGAACTATCCCTTTAAGCTCTAATACACCTATAGTCTAGCAATAATGGATTTAAAACATTTTAAAGTGGATTTACAGTATATATTGTCATTCAAGACTTCTAAGCTGTGAATGGTTTTAACAAGCAAATGTTTTCAATCAGTTGAAATTTCTCCGTCGGTTCCTTTTAAGATGAAGAAGGCTTGACGTTTGCGACACCGGAAGTTCCCACTGAGGAGAATTTTGACTCCCTTTTTGGCCGATTTTTGGGATTCTTCTTTGGCCGTCTGAGCGTGACCAGTGCACTTCAAAGTCCTGATGTGGGAAATTCATCAGGATACCAGGTAAACTTTTTGAATATTTGTTAATGGGATATTTGTCGTTAGTCCTGTGTGACTTTCTTTCTTCTGTTTCAGTGTGTCATGTCCAGTTGTAATCTAGATGACACTTACATTAGCGTCAGGTTACATGTAGGAAACAGCGCTGGAATAGATTTAATGTGATTATAACCGATCGGTGTCTGCACTGATATACAGTTTCACCCTCTCTGCCAATGTTTTTACTTTTATTAAAAAACATATTGATTTTTAAAATGTCAGGATGGTTGTTTTTCTGCAGAAGTGGAATGCGCAACTTTAAAGGAATCGGATTACTGTGTCCGTTCCCCATTTAACATGACGGCTTGTGTTAATGTTCTCTTGAATTGATCACTCTTGTTACCAATGTTTAAGCAGTCCTCGTGTCTCTGTTCTGCCCTCAGTATGGGGATGTCATTCACACAGTGAATGCGGAGGGGGAGCAGGAGTTGTTCACCTTTCCTGCCGCCGCGGGCACTGCTCACTGCTTAGACGCAAACCCTGCAGGTAGACAGAACAAATATTTTAGAAAATGTTAATGCTGCATCATGTCCATAAAGTTAAAGGAATACTCCACTTTTTTTTTGGAAATAGGCTCATTTTACAACTCCCCCAGAGTTAAACTGTTGAGTTTTATGCAGCGCCTAAAAATAGGCTACCTTCCGTCAACACAACGGAACTATTTTCAGGCGCTGCGTCATATCATCACGCCTGCTGCTCTCATGGTACGGCAGTAAAGTTTCTTGATTATTACGCAGGAATGAGAGTATAGTTCCTAGCCATTTCAGCCTAGAAAATCGCAACTTTACATTTTCCGTCGGTCTTAGTGCACGATGTAACTACAGAAGAGTCAAGTTTTAAATAGGAAAAATATCGAAACTCTTTGGTCTTTTTTTTTTTTAGAAATGCTAATGGTCTTGTCCACTTCAATGATGTATGCTAAGCTATGCTAAAAGTGGTACCGCCAGAACCGGAGATCGGCTGAATGGATTCAAAAACAGTAAAACTCAACAGTTTAACTCTGGGGGAGTTGTAAAATGAGCCTATTTCCAAAAAAAGTGGAGTATCCCTTTAAGCTAAGGGATTCTTTCATCTATTTTAATAGCAACAGCAAGCTGCATGGCTTGAGGTAATATTAGCTATGTTTTCATCCAAAGTTGCGAATTTAACTTCTACATGAAATTGGAATATTGCATAAAACATTTTCGAATAAAGTAGCATTTCCATCCCATGTGTTCAAGAGAATGAAATCGCCACTTCTTGGGAAACATATACAGTTTAGAGTTTCCTTTTTGTTGTGCATCGATGGATTTATTTGGTAAATGTGTTTCCATTGCAGTTTATGCGCATGTATTCTTATTGGATACAGTTTTGGGGATTTCAAAGTTTTCTAATGCACATTATGCACATCTTGCCGTTTCCATCCAACGTATTTTTATGGAATATCCCAAAATTTGCGTAAGACAGGTGGATGGAAACATAGCTATTCATATCTGTAGCAGCAACAGTGTGGTACAGTTCACATGGCAAAGTGTAATATATAGGGTTAGAGGTTTGTACATATATTTGTTCAATGTTGGGGTTGAACCACTTGCACCACACTAGATCTTCTTATCTTTTGCGTAACATAGATTTCCCTGTTATTTTACAGGTTTTCTGAAGGATCAGACAAGCAGGTGTATGAGGAGCTTTGACTTGGCGCGTGATTGTGCAACACTTGAAGCTCTGGCCTTGAGGACTTATATTAATTTCAACATCCGTTCTGTGAGTTCCTTGGTCATCAAGGCTTTATTGACAAGTTTGATGCTACTATGTCACATAACAACCTCTGTTTGTTTTCTCTAGGGAAAAAAACAGGAAGCTCAAGTAAGTGTTTGGAATTTCACATGATGTATTATTTGCATTTAAAGACATCTTCATGTATCTTTACATACGTTTTGTTTGTTACCTGAGGTCATTGGTGTGGAAGTGGCAGCCGTTACCCTGCAGTCTTTGGAGGGCACGCGGACGCCAGTGGACCCAGCTGACAGTGCCGTCTATTTCCCTTTGCTCCTTGAGTCTGGTGACGTCTGCAGCAATGTTGTGCAGCAGGTGTGCACATAATGCACCTATTACTATATCAGAAATCTGAAATGTGTCAGGATTCGTAAACTGTTTAATAAGGTCATGACTATTCTGTCAGGTGAAGTACACTTTCAGGTACAGTGAAGCTGGGGAAATCCTGAATGTGTTGGCGTCGTTTTTGCTGGGAGCCATTAAAAGTGTCACGGTGCCCATTCAACAAGAGTTTCATATTACATTCATGCGGGTACTTAATTTTACCCTTTCAATATTTTCTTGAAACTTCTTGGATCTTATCTTATCAAGAAGGAAGTAATAGTTTTGTGTACATCCTTTGATAGGAGATCTCTAGCACAGCAGGGTTACGTTTCAGTGGCAATCCTGGCTATGTGGTGGGACGGCCCCTTGTGGCCGGAACAAGAACAGCCGAATATCCTTTATTAGAAGAACCTGTTTGGGCAGATGTCATCATGTATTGAACACCACTAATTTAGTCCCTAAAATGTAGCAAAAAAAATTTATTCAACTGTTTAAACTAAGTTTTTAGACAACTAAAACAATTAACACAAACATCATAGCAAATTTAAATGTTTCAATACAGCACCACAAAATGTCCACCACAATGTTTGGGATATTTTAAAAAGTTAAACGCTGACATCACATTTGAATATTAATTTTACTATATTCAGTAAATTAGAGCATTTTAGATCAAGTGTTCTTTCACCATAGTCCACAAGTTAATTTCTTATTTACATTAATAATTTGTATATTGGTGGAATTTCAAACAATCATTATTAATATTGTGTATTAATGTTTCTGAAAATTTGTTGTGTCTATGACATCATGTTAATTCAGTGAAAATGACATTTAAAATTATTATTATTTATTTAGAATTCTTTCAAAAGTGTGCTAGTGTTTATTTTCCATAATAGATTTTAATAAATAAATGCAAAGCCTGTCATGTATCCAAACATCCACCGTTGTGGCACAGTCCTTGACCCCTGTTTTACTGGGATAGTTCAGTCCACTGACCCAAAAGGATCACTCACTGTCCTCCAAAACTCTGGAAATCAGGATTGCTTGCTTGGCTCGTCTCAGCGCTCCCCTGTCATGTTTGGGATTGACATGGTATCAGGCTGCACTCTGAAGTAAGAGGCTATTGTAATAATAATAATAATGATTATTGAATAATAATTGTGTTTTGATGAATTAGACGGGCATTGTCCAACAACCAATTATGTAATATTAATCACCATTACTATTAAATGTGCATTCATGTCCTCCCTTCCTTAGACTGTCTGATGGAGTTAATTGTTCTCTGGTATCTGAAGTCATTTTATGGGCGCTAAAAGGACAGTGCTTCCCGGATCATGTGGCCTCGTTTGGGAATTCCTTGCCTCAGAAACCCTTGGACTGGGTGCCAATACAAAACCAAACGATAACATCGGTAAACAGCATACTTGTCATTTTCTCTGTGTGTGGAGTGGAGAACTCATGCTGATGTTTGGAATTTATTTAAAGAGAAGTGTCTAAGTTAGGGGAAATGTTGACATGTAAACTTGGCTGGCAGTCACCATGATGATGCAAAGCTGATTTGTAAGCACTGTTTATTCTTTTAACGAATGTCTTGCGTCACTTTATGGTTTACTAAGGGCACACAAGCTTGCAGCATACCACTGTCTTACCATCTTGAAGTAAAATGGACCAAGTACGGAACCTTGGTGAACCCCCAGGCTCAGATTGTGAGCGTCATGGAAACAATCATTACTAACACCAGCAGTTTGGTAAGTTAACATCCCAGAACATTTAAGGTGGAGAGACTAAATTGTAAGACTAGTCTAAGCAGTTTATGCAACTGGCCACAGATATAAAGTTAACATTGTAATCTTTTTTGTTTAGAACCTCCTTACCAGTGCCAGTGGTCTTCTGTCTGTCACAAGTTCAGTGCGTTTTATTGATGTGTCTGCATCTGCCAGTCCAGGATTCAAAGTTCCTCCTACAATTGACGCTAAACTGCCCTTTGACTTTTTCTTTCCATTTGTATAATGGAATATTTTTTAATCTCTTTTGGCAACAGCAAGGAAGACCCCTTATTTCTCTGTATATTCTCATTATTTTTTTCTTTTTAGAAATTTTTTGTATATGGTGTATATTGTCAAGTCATGTTGTACAGTATATAATGTGCTGATTCATATAAAAAAAAAAAGAATACTTTCATACCAGTGTACTGATCTGAGACTATATATATATATATATATATATATATATAAAATACATAGGTGTATAATATATATATATATATATATAATTTGTGTCTAAACAGTTCAATTCAAAGATATGCGCACACAGTGAAATGAACATTCATTTTTACAATATTTACTCAAAATTCACTAGAAAATGTGCACTATTCATTGTAAAATCTGTTGTTTAATGCTTGCACTGTTTAGTGAAATACCACTACTGTTAATAAGCCATTTCATGAACCAGGTAGATATGTTGGTCAACATATTTTTTTTTTACAAAACAGTATTTATTGCATAGCTTTCAGTTGCTGAAACACATTGACATTTAGAGAAAAACGTTAAGAGAAAAGTGCAGGTAGGTCATTGATAAAACAACATTATTGGTTATGATATTTTGGAAAATAGTCATTCAGAGAACAAAATCAATCAATCAATCTATTGAGTTTAAATTTCCAGTATATACCTTGTGCAGTTTATAGATTTCCTTTGTTTTTTTATTTGACCTACATGGGTCACTGGCTTTATAAACCATCTGCCCTTATTTGTGCCGCTAAAGATCTGCCAGGGGACGGAGATCGAGTGACAATAAACATCACTGTAACATGACCTTCTTCACATTTCATGTGGAACGAATAGACATGATTAGTCTTAAGCTCATTCTCATGTTGTGATGCGTTTAATGAATAACCCCGGTGCTTCAAAACTCAATGCTGTGCTGTTTTAAGAGCACACGGAGCCTGGCGTTTTCTTCGTCCTGTTGAAAGATTAAATTAATTAATTTAATAATTAATACAATTAATTATTACTAATGTTAAAGAAGAGCTACTCACCATTTTTGTGTTCCGCTCTTGAAGTTCGTTGACTTGATGAACAAGGTTTCCATTGATCTCCTTTAGTTTCTGAACTTTGTGATGGGCACGGTTTTTCACCGACAGCAAGATACCTATATGAGAGCAAACAAGAAAAGACATAAAGAAATGTGAGATACTAGAGTGCAACAGTGGATTCCAGAAGTATAACAACCTATACATTTTGTCTGTAGAGATTTTTTTTAGTGATAATGTACATAAACATATAATCAATTACTTAAATGGCCCAAGTACGGAACCTTGGTGAACCCCAAGGCTCATAATGTGAGCATCATGGAAACAATAATCACTGATACCAGCGGTTTGGTAAGTTAATCATACCGAAACATTTTTTATGACTTTCAAATGTTTTCAAAAGTTTTATATATTTATTTTATTAATTAATTAAATGCCAATCATTTTATATTTTACTGATGTTTTTGACTTGATTACACATTTGCAACAATAGGCTTTATGTCGAGCGTCAGGTGACCAAGCCGGAAAACATCACATCGCTTCCGATTCAGGTCTTTTGTATGTGCTTCATGACATTTTTTGCGGTTTTACTCAAGATAACTTAAAAGGAGCAAGCAAAAATGAGCATAACCAATGTCCCTCGCATGTGCAGATTGATATTTAAAAGTTTTTTAATTTGTCTTCTTCACACTAACGTTTAGATATTTAAATAGCATAAAACACCAATAACAAAGTGAACTTAGTAGGTTACCTGATTACCTTAAAAATCCATAGATATCGTAGTTAGTTCTTACGGCCGTTAACACTTTCTATGACAAGCGGATGCAATGAGACCCGTTTTCCGGTTTGGTCACTTGACGCTCGGCATAAAGCCTATTATGAGGATGAAAAATTAATTTCCTCTTTAAAGAATTAAAGTACACAGTCTTAATCCCTAAAATTAAAATGAATGGGAAAAACACATCCAGATCCAGGGTACCTGAAAAGTGAGTGATTATTGTTGCACTCTATTGCTGGGTAAAAATCATTCCCGTACCATTAATGATCCTGGCCACTCTCCACAGCCTGAGCAAGATCAGAAGCCCCATGGCATCAAATGCATCTTCCTTCGTGATATATACAATATCCAGGATAAAGGATACCACCACCACAATCCCATCAAACACCTCAAACTTATGGTGGAGGAATTCTAGGCGATAGGCAAAGATTTTCCCACACAGTTCCACCATGAAGAATGTGAGAAGGGCGAGGCTGAGATAGTGGAATACCTGGAATGATGATACCAACAAATTGGATAGTGGAACAGAATAATTGCTGACATCTCATGTTTCTGTTGGCACACATGACACAAACCATCCACATTTTGTGCTGACTGCTTCTGAAGTGCACTCACCTGCGGGGCGATTCTGTGATGATCTGCTTGAATTATAGACAGGTCAATAAGCAACTCGCATAGAACGAAAATGGCATCCAAGACGACCAAGCACACAACAACAATCTAATCAACAAAATAACAGTCCAAAGTTAGTTCATTGATGTAAACAAAATGTTATATATTCATATAAATATTCATATACATATCAAGAGTGTGATCATTTACCTGAAACCTCTCTGTTTTGTAGAGGCGGCGTAGGGAGTCCCTGAAGCTGACCGGCTCCAAGTGTTGCCCTGTGGCGAGCTCGATGTCTTCACTGGCATCGTGTGGTTCCTCGTCATGCCACTGTCCGGCGGTGCTTTGCTCATCGCCCACCGCTGTGAAATGCTTCAGATAACGGGACATTTTCCTCAGGGGTCACATGAGTTGAATGCTAAACAAACGGAACAGCACCTTGCACATCAGAATGACTGAATCAGATTTATATATTTAGTATGCAGATTTGAGACTGTTTTAAATTGTAAAGAAATTTCATTGTGAAGATGGTTTGAACCAAATGTAGGTGAGACCAAGGCAAGTTGTCACACTTTTACTCAAGTAATTATTATGTTAAAGTCAGTTGTAGGCACAATCTTGTAAAAAAAAAAACCCATAAATAAATACACTGTAAAAAGTGATCAGCTTAAAAAAGTGAGGAAACGTTGCATTAAAATGATTTGAAACAGCTGCTGATGGAACAACAACGGCAGCCGGAAGTGAACGGTTAACTGCCGTAGCTAAAGTGCGCATAAATCACTGCGCAACAGTAAAGAGGACGGCGTAGGGGATAATTTAATCATCAGACAAAATACAAAAAAGAAAGTGATTTTAAAAAGTAAGAGAAGGGTTGTTTTTGGCATTTAATGATATACAGAAACGATTACAATGCCACATAACCTATGACATTAACTTTCTTAATCTGTCACGTAGTAACGACTACGGCTAAAACAGCTGTTCTCCCCGCAGTAGAACGTCGCGAAGTAGCAGTTAATGTCGCGCATGCGCAATAGAACGAGAGGCTGTTGCTTAAAGTCCCTAGTAAATAGCCTACACTTCATGCGTAATAAAAAAAAAATAAAAAAATAGGTTATCTGGAATTGTCAAGTTCACATAAAAAAATAAAATAAAATAAAAAATCTTCAATTACGCATGAAGTTTATTAGGCTACTTAATCATTTTAAAGCAACTCATGTCCTCACTTTTTATAAGTTAAGTCACCTGATCACTTGTATAAAGTGTTTCTACATAATTCCATAACATCCACACAAAAAAAAAAACTGATTCCTAGCAGAGCTAATTGTTGTCATATACATTCCAGGCGCAATTTTAAGCAACATTTAAACAGTTTTAAATATAAAGCAATGAATGACATAGCAAATTGTGAACGGTAACATGCAGAAAAAGCTAATAGGCCTATAATCAATCATACATTTTAGATTTTAGTTTCATTGTTGCCCTCTAGCAATTACATACAATTATTTTTCCTGAAATAAGTGTGGATGACTGAATTAAAAAAAAATTAGGAGGCAAACACACGTATGTTTATCAGATCTAAACTAGCGTATATTCTATGCATAAATAAATAACTGCAGTTCGATATGTTATCGCCACTTTAAATGGCGTTTCAGTATTCAAATCTTAGGTTTGAAGAAAAGTTTTGCATGCCTCATCTACAGAAATCTTCAACAGATGTCTTATTATTTAAATAGACCATGCAAAACAATTTATAACAAAAGTGTAGCATTTCTGACTAAAGTAAAACGGCAGTTTCTGTCTATTAAGCGTAACTTACCGAGGCGACATGCATCAAAAAACTCACTTTTCAACATCCGTGACTTGAACTTAACTCGTGATTTCCTGTGACATTTGAACATTTAAAGTCAAAGAATTTTACAAGTGCACTGTTTACTAGTGACGACAATTAAATCTAAGTCAATGGCAAGACTTAAATCTGGTCATTTTAATTTGTGATTTCTCTTGAATACGACAGTGTCATTTAAAATGTTTCAGATTATTCAGTCAGTCAAGCTATTTAATTCGGGCACAGTTCAAAAAGAGAAAAAAAGTTACAATGCAAAAAAAATATTATAATAATAAATATTTACCAGTTTTGTTGCAGGGACGATGTTGCTAACGGCTAACGCAGCATTTTTTCAGGGACAACAATCCGAATTCTGTGAAAAACTTTGACCCTAAACTCCGCCTCTGCAACATGAACGTGATCCTCTGCACAGGACGCAGTCTAGAGTAGGGGACATTTCCCAAATCCTTGAACATATTATGCCCGGGAGTCCGGGACCCAAGAACTAGTGGCATTGGCTTTATGACGCACTGAAACGATGACATTTAAAATTTAAAACGAATTTGGATGTTTTAAAGGTTAAAAAGTTGAACAGTCAGATAGATAGATAGATAGATAGATAGATAGATAGATAGATAGATAGATAGATAGATAGATAGATAGATAGATAGATAGATAGATAGATAGATAGATAGATAGATAGATAGACAGACAGACAGACAGACAGACAGACAGACAGACAGACAGACAGAACGACAGATAGATAGATATATAGACAGACAGACAGACAGAACGATAGATAGATAGATAGATAGATAGATAGATAGATAGACAGACAGACAGACAGACAGACAGACAGACAGACAGACAGAAAGATAGATAGATAGATACACAGACAGACATACAGAACGATAGATAGATAGATAGATAGATAGATAGATAGATAGATAGATAGATAGATAGATAGATAGATAGATAGATAGATAGATAGACAGACAGAACGATAGATAGATAGATAGATAGATAGATAGATAGATAGATAGATAGATAGATAGATAGATAGATAGATAGACAGACAGAACGATAGATAGATAGATAGATAGATAGATAGATAGATAGACAGACAGACAGACAGAACGATAGATAGATAGATAGATAGATAGATAGATAGATAGATAGATAGATAGATAGATAGATAGATAGATAGATAGATAGACAGACAGACAGAACGATAGATAGATAGATAGATAGATAGATAGATAGATAGATAGATAGATAGATAGATAGATAGATAGATAGATAGAAAGATAGATATGTAGACAGACAGACAGAACGATAGATAGATAGACAGACAGACAGACAGACAGACAGATAGATAGATAGATAGATAGATAGATAGATAGATAGATAGATAGATAGATAGATAGATAGATAGATATGTCCATAAGTGTGAGTTTCATTCAGATAAATTGCGCTGTGCTTCTCTGTTTGCTTGTTACCAAGTTACAGCACTACTGAATGAATGAAGCAACCAGTGTCCCCCTCTGAAAATGCCACAGCTCCCATATCTCACATTTTGTATAGCAAACACACATTAGCCAATTCTGTGGTGACCTTTGAAACCCTTTACAGCCTGTCAACATTTTATTCAGCTTCAGTCAGAGTTCCCTTTCTCAAGAATGTGAAATGCTTTGTGCTGTTGATTTGTACACCCTATTGAGCATTTATACAATATATATGTTGTTTGTTGGTGGTATATTACAGGGTGCGTGACAAAAATGTCAATCAAGTAATGTTTAAACTGAAAGGGCAGAAGCTCCCATCAGTATTATATCTCGGGACATCTCTTAAAAGATGATGGATGGCATGAAGAAGTTTATGGATGAAAGTGTTTAAGGAAGGTGGCAAATTGTGCCTTTATATCTGTCACGTTGTGGGTTTTGTGTCTTGTTCCTTGTTCTTGTCTGTCATGTGATTCCCTGATTGTCGTGTGATCCTGCCATGTGTCTTGTCATTTGTTAATCGTCTGATCATTGTTCACAGGTGTTCCTTGTCTGTGTATTTAAGCCCTCATGTTTGCCCTGTGTCTTGGTCTAGTATTGAATGTTTGTCCAGGTTTTCAAGAATTTCATGCCTTGCCATGCCCTTATTTTATGTTTGATTATGTTTTGTAGTAAACGTTGCCTTTGGGTTCTCAACCAGCTTGCCTCCAATGGATTCATAACAATATCATTCAAAGGGACTTTTGCCTCACACTGAGAAAAAATTCAATTATTTTGAATCGTTGTTGTGTTGTTCCATTCAATATTGAAAATAAATATTTTTTTTGATCGTCATTCGTCAAGAACTTTGTGGACATAAAAAGGTAGCATTTTGCTCCAAATTGTCAATTGCTCCAAAGTGTCCTGCTGTGTCACCTTTGTCGGCCAGTAGGAGGCGCTATTTAGCTAGAGAAAAGTGAATGAAAAAACTTGTCATTGCTGTTTTACACATTGTTTCCAGTTTAATCAGTGTAGCATTTACAAAAACAAAGGTTATACAAACGTTAGCCTACTGCCAAGTATTTGCTTTAGAAAATATAGACTACAGTTTAGTCCAAGAAAGCACTACCATCGAACTTAATCCAAACAGGGTAAACCCCTAAAATAGACCTCAACAGTGTGGGATGAATAGCTTCAACTGTTCGTTACCCAGTATGAATGGGGTGCATACAGACCAGCCCAGAGACTCGAACTCAGTGAATCTGGAACTGTGTAGAATTCTGTTTTAGTAAGTTATAAAACAAGGGCGCTTGAATAATTTAATAATAACGGGACCTCCTATTCATTATTGCTGAACTCTCTTAAAGGGATATACTCCACCTAAAATGAAAAATTCTCTCACATTTACTCAGCCTCATGCCATCCCAGATATGACTTACTTTCTCCTGTGGAACACGAGGAGACTTTTAGAGAAATATTCCATCTCTGTGAGTTCATAGCCTTGCTAATGCAAGTGGATGGGTCCCTGAAAGTTGACTCTTCAAAACCACACTAAGTGGACATAAGCATAGTGCGAATTACAAAGGGACAAAAATATCAGTTTTGGGGGGGTCAGATAATTTTTCTGATATTGTGAAAAAATATAATTACAGTTACAATACAAGTCAACTCCTATTTTCACTGTAGGAACATTTTAATGTAAAGCGATTTCAGCGAACACCCCTATTGTGGACCGTACCATTTTTTACCACCGGCACCGTGGAGATAGAGAAGGGCAGCTAGCCGACGCCGAGTGAGTTGTTGTTGTTGTGCTCCTGCTAATGTACGGACAAAGTTGCGCTGTTGCGGCTCGCGCAGTTATTTATAACATTAATTTATAGTTAAGAAACAATATATAGGCTACACACGACCAGAGTGCTGTTTTCCTGAATGCCATCACGATTGAAACCGAGATATTGATTTCATAACAGTTCGATAAACAAGTAAAATAGTTCAAATTAAGTTACTTACATTTTTAGACGCAATGACTGTTTTTGTTCTGTTTCAGCAGCGAAAATAGTTCCAAACAACAGAACCACAGCGCATCTCAGAGCAACACTCATCCACGATTCATTACTGAATAATTCAGCGTTTTGAACTAATCGCTCGAGTCAAAGATTACCCATTACTAAACCGCCTCATTCTGAATAAATCAGCCGTTTGAACGAAATGAATGACTCAATGAATCGCTCACTAAGACGGCCGCCTGCCGCCTCCTACTGGCGGTTTAGTTTCAAAGTATCATTCTTTTCAACATTCCTTATATTATTCAAAAAATATTTAAAACAATCTCATAATCTCATTTAATACAGTTATAATTTTTCAATGTAAATTATTTAATTTGATTGGCCTTGATTTTTCCTGTGATCAAAGCTGAATTTTCAGCATCATTACTCCAGTCTTCAGTGTCACATGATCCTTCAAAAAATCATTTTAATATGCTGATTTGATGCTCAAGAAACATTTTTTATTATCATCAAGGTTGAAAAACAGTTGTGCTTCATGCTTAACATTTTTGTGAATAGAATAGAACTGTTATAGAACTGTTATAGAACAGAATAGAACTGTTCTATTAAAACATCAAATATAGTTGAATATCTGCAAGGCATAAGATTACTGATATTCAGTAGCCGCGCTCTCGCGCGTGTGATTTGGCTTAAATCGCGCGTGGGCTATTTGGTTATACTTTACAAAACAGGGACAGTAAGAGTGCAGGGCAGAAACTAATAGCCTGATGGAGCTTAAGAGAAGAAACTGTCGCTCGACGGAATAAATGCTGCAGAAGTGCAGATAAATAAGTTTCTCCTCCCAGACTGAGAGAAGCGTGAGGGGCGTCAGGAGTGTGTCGGACTCGGCTCGGCTCGGCTGCAGGTGACACAACGCACCCTTTATGCGCGCGCTGGAGGCGGAGGCTGCTGGGCTGGGGTGTGACTGGACCGGAGGATCCGGTTTCGCCGAGAGAGAGAGAGAGAGAGAGAGAGAGAGAGAGAGAGAGAGAGAGAGAGAGAGAGAGAGAGAGAGAGAGAGAGAGAGAGAGAGAGAGAGAGAGAGAGAGAGAGAGAGAAACACACACACACACACACACACACACACACACTCGCCGCCTCTCCGCTCACTCTCCACCGCATGCTGTTCCAGCACACAGCGCGCTGTTCTGGAGGACTCTGGCCAATGAGACACGCTGTGAGTGACTGCTCATCTTCTCTGGTGTGTTGGTAAGCCATATTCCTCACACTCAGCAACAGATGCAGACTAGACTGGTGGTCCTTATTATAATAATTTCCGTCATTCTTAACTACTGTTTGGAACTGTTATTGAACGGTATATGAAAACGCTAGGGCTAGTTACTTATCACATGAAGTTTTCATCAAGATCTGTTTAAGAGAGTCGAGTCTAAAGTCCAGTTAAACAAATTATTGATTTTATATGTTGGTTTCAAACACCTAGTTGGTTTAAACCATCCTAAATTACGGATCTAATTCTGTCCTCCAAAGTTAAAATTACAGTATCTTCATATTTTTGTAATAGCTGTAAACAAGTCAACACAATAAAAACAACATTCAAACAAGAGGCATTACACTGAAGAAAGGTTGAACTCATTGATTTAAAAAAAAAACTTTGTACAGTTTATTAATTGCAGGATTTGTTTTTCATTTGATATTTTTATGTTATATTTGACTTGTTTGCTGTTTTATAAATGTCTTACTCTTACAGTAAAGCCTTTTGTAGGCTGTTTAATGGCAGGCTCCATTGAGATGTCTTACCCTATAGTGCATCAACATGTTCCACTATAGGATCAATAGTGTGTTAAATGAACTATATCTTTCTTGTGGGGAATAGTGGAAATGTTCAAAAGTATATGTACAGAAACTGACTTCCAAATATGTGTACTTGTATATAGAGTTGTCAGTTTGTTCAGGTGAGTTATCTGAATCAATCCTGTAAGAAGGAAGATTTGAACACTTCAGAAACGTATCTAAGTGAATTATGCACTACGGTTCAAACGTTTGGGGTTATTAAGATTTTTTTTTTTTTATAAAGAAGTCTCTTAAATGCTCACCAAGGCTGCATTTATGTGATAAAAGCACATTAGAATTTCATTAATATTGTGAAATATTATTACAATTTAAAATATTTTAAAACATATTTTTTTCCTGTGATCAAAGCTGAATTTTCAGCATCATTACTCCAGTCTTCAGTGTCACATGATCCTTCAAAAAATCATTTTAATATGCTGATTTGATGCTCAAGAAACATTTTTTATTATCATCAAGGTTGAAAAACAGTTGTGCTTCATGCTTAACATTTTTGTGGAAACAGTGAAACAATTTTTCAATGGTCTTTGGTGAATAGAAAGTTCAAGAACAGCATTTGTTTGAAAAATAAACGCTTTATGTCTTTACTTTCACTTTTGATCAATTTAATGCATTCTTGCTGAATAAAATGATTAATTTCATTAAAAAACAATCTCGCTGACCTCAAACTTTCGAAGTGTAATGTATGTACAAGGAAAGTGATGTTACCAAGTGCCTTTTATGCCACACATTGATAAAATAATAATGATTTTAATACACTAATAAGAAGTACACATGCTTTCCTCATTCTAGCATGTTATTCATTTGATCATTTGATCTGAAAAAGGAAATGCAACCTAAAACCTCTACAAAACTTACCATGAATTCCTTCAGATAAACACCGTTTTACTTTTTAACTGTTGGGCCGTCTGCCAAACTGAATCTGCTTCCTCTGCACTAACAGACTGGTGGCTATTGCTTATAGGATGTAGCATTAGTTAAAATAGTCATTTCATTTCATTCTTAATAGAGAGCTGCTGCACGTCTAGACATCAAACTCATTTGAACATTCAATGGCGGCTTTAAATCAAAACTCCATTTTAATTCCAGTAATTGGCTCTCTGATTATTACATTTTTTTTCTTACACTAATGCCCGCTTTCTCTTTCACACACACACACACACACACACATTCAAACTTATTAATATTAATTTGCTATCCTGGGTTTGGAATATCTGGAGATTTTGCAGCAGTCTGTAGGTGTTTATTATACATTATGCGGCACTGAAACAAACCACTGCTAATTCCCTGACAATACCGGCATGCAAATTCAAAGGCTTATCTAAATCTTCTAATCTAAATGGAGACTGAAGGTGAAAGTGTATGATTTCTGCACCGCTGACACCACCAAAACAAGACTGCTAAAAAAACAGGTGGAGTTCTGCCGTCCTATATTGGTGTCGCAGCAATTGCACACTTTTTAAGGGACAGTTCACCCAACTTTTTGTTCATACAATGGGATCCATTCAATGTTTTGGATCATTTAATGGACAAAAACATTCTTCAGCATATCTTCTTTGTTGTTCCTCAGAAGAAAAAAAGTCCAGGTTTGGAACGACATGAGGTGAGCGAATGATGACAGAATTGACATTTTAGGGTTAATTGTCCCTTTAAGTTACATTATTTCATGGAATGCTCCATCATATTTATCTGCAATTACTGGGAATCTTTTTGCTCTTCATGCTCAATTCTTTGAGCCCCAAAGCCAGTATGTTGTAGGTTTCTCTCTTGCTTCCAGAAGACGAGTCTGGTGTCCGTCTCATGCTTAAAAAGCTGTCACGATAGCGCTGCCAACCTGTTGAGGAGATTGCTATGGTGACTAGGTGTCCTCAACTATGTGATCTCTATAGCAATGAGCGGTCCTGCTGTTTTGGGCTGAAAGAAGCATTTGGCCAATTAAGGCATGCAACAAAGCTTTATTAAAGAGAAGGAAAATTAAAAATCAAGCTGACGCGTTGCACTGCATTGCTTCTAAATATTATGTTTAGCTTGCATTAGTCATGATTATGTCTAGTCTAAATTATGCCATCATTTACTGACCTTCATCTTCATGAAACTGTATGACTTTCTTTCTTTTGTGGAACATAAACAAAGATATTTTGAAGAATGTTTTGGAACCATACAACATTGGACCCCATTGACCAACAAAAAATACAGAGAATTTTAATTTTTGAGTGAACTATCCCTTTAATTCTGCAAGTGTAGAAATGTCTTTGCGTACTTTTGCATATTAATCCAAGTTGGTCTTAACTTTTTGCAATCTTATCAAATAGTGACTCAAGAAAGTAGGTAAAATGATTTGAGTTGCGTTCATTCACAATGCTGGCAATGGAAGATCAAGTCAAGAGCAGTGCATTATGGGATACAGTATTTTTTTCACAGTGATCTCTGTGATAGCACATTTTGGCCATACGAGTATTAATTACATTGAACATTTGCACAGTATTTTCATACAAGATAGTATATATCTGTGAGCACAGCCAGTGTTTATTATATTGTAAATTCCTGATCAGATTCTTATAGTGGCTGTAATGATGCATTGCTGGATCTCTGTTCTGGCTGAATCAAGAGCCACTTGTTGGACAAATAGGCAGGGTTTTCTGTTCCCGCTGCTCTGTTCAAGAGCATATTTGTGTTTTATAAAGATTTCAGGGTTGAGAACATTTTTATGAACAAGTGTCCTTCAATTGTGGCTGAAATGTGGGAAACATGTGGCTAGTGCCTGTATGGTAAACCATGATCTGTCAGCACTCATTCTAGATGAAAACATATTTTTTTATGATTCATTCTTCCATACACCCAATCAAATCTGCTGTTCGAACAAATTGGTTATGTATATCGCAATCTATGCTGTATTAAAACGCTTGTGGCTTGTTTGGAAGGGAGGTCTGAATGACAGAGCCATAAATGTTGTCCTTCTAATACTGCATGGAATGAAGACAAGCGTCCTCTAATTTTCCCTTTCTGTGAGTTTTGAAGGCGTATTGTTCTTTCTTTCTTTTCTTTTTTTGGCTGAGGTTGACCGTAATTATGAAGTGGCTTGAATTAAGAGGCTGCTGGATGTCGGAAACCTCAAGTTGAAGGAGGTGCAGATATTTTGTCGTAATGAGAGACTGGTGTGTTTTTAAAGTGCTGACATAATTTGGGATGTGTTTTGTTGTATGTTGGTTTCAGAAGGAGTATGAATGGTGCTTGTGTATGAAGGGGCGTGTAACATTAAATCAAAATTCAGTCTATTTGCATTTCTAATTAATGTCCAAGTGTTATTGTGAATGATTAAATAGTGCATAATCTTACAATATAACTTGCTTCTCCTTTAAAATGACTTTTCCGCTGACGTCACCAACCGCTTTCCTCCAACTAATGGTGTGATCATGTCTGAAAGATCGAATTTTCGAGCAAAATGAACATGAACGCCACCATAAAGTAATTATGAGTGGGAAACTCTGGATTTTCTTTGAACCTCGAGTTGGGACTTGGGAGCATGTAAGAGAAAAAAATATGAAAGATGCAATGGATTTAGTGTCTGTAAATTACATTTAATTAAGTTGCATAAACAAAACCCGACAGTGTTGTACAAGCAAAAACACACCTGGTGCGCAATCTTTATTTACAATTTTGTAGAAGTAGAACCAAAAAATATTACTGTATTTTATTTTTTGTAGAGAAGGTACATTGCCATCTTGCCGACAAAAGTGACTTGAACACACGTGTCATCATATTTACAAATTCCCAACTCATAAACTTCCTAGTATCACACAGGACAGACTTGACGCACAGTTAATTTCAATAGAGTTTGGCATTAGCATGTTGCTAAGCTAGAAATACTCATAACACATATATTGGATAAAACAGTATAAATTAGATCCTTTGTCGAACTATTTTAATATTTTAACTTATATTTTTGGGGTTTTAAATGACTAATAAGTGGAATTTGGCAGCCTTAAATATTTGGCTGAAACAGCAAAAAAAATTATATTAATTTTCAGTTTTAGCTGAAATAGTTTTGGAGGGCCAAAATCAATGAAACAGTGACATTTATTTAGCACTTTTCTGATGACACGTTTTGATCGTTTTGGCGTCGATTTCATGCAGACAATGTGGAAAAGCTACAACAGGTAAACGTGTCAGCAATGTGGACACATTTTAATATACTTTATTATAATATACAACACAAAAATACTGGGTAAAAGTCTAAGTTAATTAGATCTATTTTTTTAATTATAAGAATTATAAGTGAAAATGTGGTGGAAATATAAATATGCCGAGACTCGACTGAAATTGATTTCAGTAGTTTGGAATTAGCATGTTGCCAAGCTAATATATAACTTTAAATACGACATGAAGTGTTAGCCATTTCA